TATAAGTTGAAGAGTTAAAAAGTAAAGTTCAATATAAGACAAAATAGATGAGAATGTGGCGGATATATATAGTGGAAATTTTGGTAAACAAATATTGTTATTGAGATGGGCAGAGTCGAGAAATGGGTAAATATTAATACAGAATGTGAATAATAAGAGATAAGGTTTAGCCAGTAATAAATATTAAATTGGGAAAGTCGGGAATCTCTTTAATTGAGATGAAGGTCAACTCTTATCATTTATTTATATTTTTGGGAAAAGTTATTTTTTAATTTGTTTATTTGTTTTACGAATGCAGCACTTAGCAATAAAATATTAGAGTGATAACAAACAGGAACTGAAAAAAAATATTTTAGATATAAAAAAAATAAAAAAATGACCTTAAAAGGAAAGCCTTTTTAAAATTTATTCAACAAACCCATTAATAACCATAAAATATTGCAAGCTTAATGTTGGAGGAGTTCACTAAAAGAAAACAAATAAGCTTTGTCGAAAATATAGAATTATGCATAAAGTTATAAATTGATTGTTTTTACAAGAGGTGGGTTGGATTTTCGATTTCCGAAAAAATTTTGATTTCCGATTTTTGAGCCAGTTCCGATTTCCGGCTTTTCCGATTTTCAACACCTCTGACTTTTCCGACACACCTCTGTTTTAACAGTTTGAAAAATATAAAAGATTTTAAAAATGAGTATAAAAAGTACGTAGTATAAAAGAATAGGCCGAAAAAATGAATTTTTTGATAAATAGAAGTAATAAAATTATTTTGAAATTCGTCAAAAAAATTTTTTTGTCAAAAGGTAGAGAGAAGATAAGGATTTTAATGAGACTTTGAAAAACAAGATCTCGATCAGGGCTGTGCGTCATGGCGTTTGGCGTTTGGCGTTTTGCGTTTTGGCGTTAATTTTGGCCGATTTTTGGCGTTTTGCGTTTGGCGTGATTTTCCGATTTTGGCGCGCCAAACGCCAAAAATATACACCCCTAATGATGGAATTTTTTTTAAATAAATGGAGAAAGGGATGATCGAAAAAAGAAATTTTTCTGCGTACAGTCTTCCAAAATTCTCAAAATTTTTGCCTGCGGCGCATAAAAAATGAAGAAATCTACTGCTTGGACTTCCAAAATTTTCAAAATTTTCGCCTGCGGCGCTTAAAGGAGGAAGCCCTTATCTTAAACTAATAGATGGTAGAAAAAAAACTTTAGTCCCGTCAATCGTTTACTCTCTTCATGATCTCTGTTATACTCATTACAACCTTTATACCTTCATATCCACCTTAATCTCAAGGGGTTCTATGAATTTTTTATTTTTTTAAATTTTTTAAAGGATGAATTTCGGCTTATTTGCCTCCAAAATTCTCAAAAATTTCGCTCCGGCGGTAAAAAAAGGATGAATTCTGGCTTCTGGGAAGCTTGAAAATTCAAAAAATTTCGCCTGCGGCGCTAAAATGAGATGAACAGTGGGTTTTAAGTCATTATAGTCTCTAAAAATTTTGGCGTTTGGCGTTTTGGCGTTGATTTTGGCCGATTTTTGGCGTTTGGCGTTTGGCGTGTTTTTAAAATTTAAAAAATTGGCGTTTGGCGTTTGGCGCGCCACGCGAAAATTTTGGCGCACAGCCCTGATCTCGATCGAAAATCTCGGTTATCAAGAGTTTTCGAATTTGACGGTGAAATAAAAAAAAAAGAAGGTGAAAATAGAGAGACAATACTATTTTCGAAAAACAAATCGATAACTTGGGAACAGTCCTTTTTTACAAAAGATAGGTATTTTTTGATAAAAGCAGTAGGTAAAAGTATGTAGGTATTCTTTCCAATTTTTTAACAAAGGAGAGAGGAAAATTTTCTTAAACAGCCAACCATCCAGTGTCTTCATTTTTTACAAAAATGGGCCCATCACAAAACCAGCCAATGTTTCCTGTTGAATGCTTGTTATTGTCAGACATAAAGAAAACAGATTTTTTAATGTAGAGAAGAGAAAAAGGAGAAGCTGGTAGGGAAAGTTGATCAGAAAAGGGGAAGTTGGTAAATATGTGCACATCTTTCAATTTTTTAACAAAGGAGAGGACAGAATTTCACATTTTAAAACCAGTCAGTGTTCTGTTTTAAATAATTTGTTTAGGTCAGACAGAAAAGAGAACATTTAGAATTTAGAGAGAAGTGGATGAGTGAGATAAAATGAAAACAGAAATAAAGAGAGTGAAGAGAGAGAATGAATTCTCTCTTTTGGAATGGAACGGACTCTCACTTTTTTCCTTCGAGCAATAAAATGGAAAGAATTTTTTTTCCTTTGGGCAAAAAAATGAAAAAAGAAATAAAGAGAGAGTGGAGTTCTTCCTTTTTTTTCCTTCGAGCAATTTTTATTGCCGAACATTCCATTTTTTGTTTTTTTAACATTTACATTTTAGTAATGTAAATGTTTTCATTTAAAAATTTTTTTCTACCTCTGAGAATCAATAGCCGCGGTCAATTCTTGACAAAATAATCTTCTATACGAAGAAATTTCCTGTTGCGAAAAATTTAATGGTTTATTGGCCATCCCAAATCTGGCGTAGAGAAGGGAATAGACGCCGCAATCAATTCCTCCTTTCTGCCTCGGTACATCAAATTTTTCGAGCCTTGTCCAGGAGTCCCGCGGGCCAATATCGACTTTACATTGTAAAGCAGCTACCAGCATTATGTCCCTTAATTTTTATCCATAATAATTTATATTTTTAATTTTGTTTTTTCATTAATCTTAATATTTTTTTCTTATTATTTTACTCAAAATAATCTATCCCTTAATTCTCTATCCAAAAATAATTTATTTTTTTAATTTTTCCTAATCTCAATTTTTTCTTATCATTTTCTTAAACTAATCTTTCGGAACCTCCTCCACCTCCTCTACTTTCCTCAAAATATTAAACTTGGTCCAACTGTTATTTTTTGTTCAAACAGTTATACTTACTCGGATAAAGTTTTTAAATGTTTTTAAAAGTGTATCCCAAATTCTTCACGATTACCCTTACCCGTATTTTTACCGTATTTAAAATACCATTTTTATTATTTTGAGGAAAGAAAAGGAGGGGGGGGAGAGATGTTCAATTTTTTCCATTTTTCTCTTAATTATCTAAAATTTTCCTTCTACCCTTATTATATTCTAGGAATTAATTTTACAAGAAATTTTCCATAAATTCTCTTTTCTTATCAGTTGTGTGCCCGTTGTTTAGGGAGTCCATTAAAGTTATTTTTCTCTCCTTAATTTCGGCAATGGCCATACACCAGTGGTTATTGTTGACATGGCATGGAGCAAGGACTTTCTCCACACCTCCAAATTGCCAATACCATTTGCCGGTAATACTTTTATTCTTCGTAACATAGTGTAGAAAGCAGTATGTAGGTATATACTGCACTATGTGGTTGGGCCAATGATGCTGCTCTCGAGGAGTATTATGGGTCGGGGTTTCAAAACATAAGTGTTGTAGATAAGCATCAATTACAGATGCCTCCAACCACTCTCCATCTCGAAGGGTTAGTAGTCCAACAAGTGTTTTCGGCTCTATTTATTTTTAAATTTATTTATATATTTTTTATATTATATTTTATAACCTTATCTCGCCACCTTTGTTTCAAGTTACCGCGCTTTTTCTTTTTCTATAAAAAATTTAAAAAATTTATTTTGATTATTTTCTTGGTAGAACATGACTTAGGCCCCCTTTTTCTTCCCAAGTTTTTTCCTTCATATTTACAGAATGGTCAGACTTCCTTATTTTATACTTTAATCTTTGCTAATTTCTCTCAACTCTTTCTTAAAGTCTTTCTTAACTTGTTTTTAATAACAAATGAAAAAGGGGCCATAAGCTTTGGTTCTTTTAAAATTTTCTCGGTATTAATTTTCTTGGTAAAACCTAAGCTTAGGCCCCTTTTTCTCCAACTAGTTCTTTTCTTTCCTTATTACAGAATGGTCAGTCTTTCTTCTTTCCTCAAGTAAATCAATCTTCCTTCACTTTTTATTTTAATTTTAATCTTTCTCAATATCCTCTCCTTTCTTTCTTAACTCTTTCTTAAATTCCTTCTTAATTGTCTTTAATTGATAAAAAATGAAAAAGGGGGCCTAAGCCTTTGTTTTTTATTCTATTAAATATACCGCGACTTCCTCGGTTTTATTTATTTGAAGTATTTCTTTTAAAATATTTTCAACCGGTTCAATTTTGTTTTCATTTTTATAATTTATATATTCATTCCTAGTTGTCAGAACATTGTCAAGGGAAGCAATGCACTTTCCCATTATCTTAATTTAATTAAGTCCTTATCATTCTTTATTTTTTTGAAAATTTTATTTAATTTCTCATTTTTTAAAGGAACTTATGCAATTTAACTACGCATTTCATTTATTTGCTGGAAACACACCCTATTGTTAACACATAAAATGCAGGGTTTTGCATAAGCGGTTCGCCAACTCATAGGTTTGGGTGACCATTTTGAGCCTCTTTTGAGCCTGCGAATAAATGCGGTGTGTAGTTAATACAGCATAGGTACCTTTTTAATTTCTAGAATAAGGTTTCCATGGAATGGTTTTACGACAATTCCGGATATAAAATTGTTCATAAATGGCGACCCCCTTTTTTCTCATACTTTTTTTCAATTTTTCTTTATTTATCACAACATATATTTTTCGAAAGTGCTCTTCGAGCTGAGTCAAATAACACCAAAATCAACGAAATCTGACAAACTATTAAAGTTGAATATATGGTTTAAAATCCCTTATAACGGCACAATATGTAGAAAAAATTGGGTCAGCCAAAGTATTAGCACTAACAATAAGACGAGAGGACTTAAATGAAACTGACAAAATTAAACAAAGCTACAAGGAAATAAAGTGAATTTATGAAAGGAAAAAATCTAAGAATTTGCGTCGGCGTCTGAATTAAGGGAGAGAGAACCGGCATAAGTACCCTTAATAAATAAAATTCGAACCTATTTGTTTTGCCTCTTCCAACAAATTTTCTTCTTGTTGATTTGTGCCATTATATTCTTGAATAACCGGAACTCCAGCCTCGATTCCCATCATTTTTGCCGTTCGCATGACCTAAAATAAACAAAAAAATAAATTTTCTATAAAAAAATTTTTACCCTGACAGCAATTTCGCCTCTGTTGGCAATCAACACTTTTTTGATTCGATTTGAATGGGACTGGCGTATAAAGCAGATTTGAAAGATTGTAAGAAATTAGACGAAAATTAAGAAGGGAAAGAATTGAATACATTGTAAATCCTGAAAATGTGAAAAACATTATTAAAAAATATTTAAATGACGACACAGAAAAACTGTGGCGTATTCTCCCTGTGGTGTGTTCAATGAGAGAAAAAGAAAAAAATTATTAAGTCTGCCTCATAGGAAAAAAGGGGTTTAAGATAACAGACAGGTAAGAATGGAACAATGTTAATTAAAGAACTTAAGTTTTTAAGATTAAGAGAGAGTGAAAACTAAAGGAAAAGAAACTAATTAATTGAAAATAGAATATGAAAAAGAACAAAAGAACAAGATCCAAAGTAAAAAATCAATTAATTAATATTAAGTAAAAACAGCTGCAAAAACAACTAACAAAATTTACTATTTTTTTTATATTTTTTTATATTTTTTTATATTTTTTTTATATTTAATTGGGTAATCGTGAATAATTGGGGACACACTTTTAAAAACCCTGAAAATCATTATTTTTTTCTGAAAATCATTTTATATAGGTAATCGACTATGCTGATTTCAAATATGAAAGAATTTTTTGCCGGGGACAAAAACTCGCAGAGATATAGGCCCCCGAAAATCGAAAACCCATAGGGGGAAGTAAGGTCGATTTAGGGGTAAATTATCCGATTATACATATTATAGCTCATTCGAAAGAGCTCCTCGAACTGAATTGAAAAACACCAAAATCAACGAAATCCGACTTCATTTGGCCGAGTTACAGACCCCGAAGGTTGGAAATTTTTGGGGTCAAAAAATTCGATTATACAAATGACACCTCATTCGAAAGAGCTCATCGAGCTGAGTCGAATGACACCGAAATGAGCTCGATTGAATGATTTTGAACAAAGTTATGACCAACAGAATCCCCAATTCTTCACGATTACCTTTAATTATACTTAAATTTTCTAATTTCTTTAATAATTATTAGAATTTGTTGAATAAATTAATTTTAAAACAACAATGGCTCCCCGTCGTAAGCCCTACTCCAAAAAAATTGTAGGCAGACTTAATTATAAAAAATACTTATTAGACATCGACGAACTCCGTCGTCGTATTCAAGGCCCGGAGGGGATGAATGGGCAGGCACTGAATAAACTTCTGAAAATGAGAAGAAGTGTCAAAATGTTCCGTGATAAGCTGGCGGTAACTTAAAATATAAGAGTAGGGTTGCCGTTTTCGAGTCGGGCCGACGTTCGAGGCATTTTTTTCGGGCTTGTTTTTATCGAGTCGGGCCGGCACGAGTCTTTTTCGGAACATCTAGGCCCGACTCGATCAGCGGTCCGCGTCGGGCCATTTTGGCAACCCTACGTAAGTTTCAAAAATACCATATATGGTCAAATAATTACCCTCTCTAATATTTGCCCCCTCCTCACCTCAATATTTTTAAATATTTATTATTTATCTATGTCTATTATTACCACCCCCTCTCTCTCTCTCTCTCAAATAATTACCTCTTTCGATTAAATCCCCCTCAAGCCATAGTTGAAACAATAGTTCCCCGGGATTATTATTTGACCAATATGGTATAACAATAAATAATCCTATATATAATTTTTGAATTCCTGTCTGTGTCTGTGGGGGTCAAGTCCGAGGGGTAATTTCGGCGCATGTTTGCATTTGGCGTTAGGAAAGAAAATGAATAAAAAATTGCTTATTTAAATGAAAAGGTGAAAATGATGAAAGTGAAAAAAGGAAAATAGTAAAAAAAGATATGTTTTAGGTCGAGTTCGAAATAAGTGAAGTCAGTAAAATAAAATGTAAACAAAAAATTGAAAAGGTTTAGAAGTAGGGTTGCCGTTTTTGAGTCAAGCCGACAATCGAGGCATTTTTTGGGTTTTTTTGGGGCAAAGCCATGAAAATAGAGGTAGATAAAGATGAAAGAGAGAGACTCGCCCGAAGGGCGAGTCTCCTCGCTAGTAAATAATAGTTAATAATAATTAATAATTAATAATAATAATAATAATAAATCCTTAAGAAGAACAACATCATCCTGCCATATTGGAGGAGAAACAAGACCAGAATCACCTCATTTAGTTATCTAACTGAGAGTGAAATATTCCAGGCAAAATTTAAACCTTCTAATGTAATAAATGTATTTTTTAGTTAGTGAATGACTTCAAAATAATAAGCCGTGAAAATTACCCGTTCAGGGAGGCTAAAACTTTTTTGTTTGGAGGTAGATAAAAATAAAAATAACATTAAAATTAATAAAATTTAAGAAATTGATGATTTTGAAGAGAAAATAGATAGTATAAGGTTTTGATTTAGTGCTATTATCGCATTATTCGCCACTATTTTATTTCCCTCCAAAAACGTTTCTTAACAGCTGGCTATAGTCCCAATCTGCATGTTAAAGCCTACGCTGGCCGAGTAAAACTGGAGGAGGGGGTGAGGAGGCAGCAGAAATTATTCTCGGTCCGGCTTTGTTTTCGTGTACATTTTGGAAAATGAAAAATAAAGGAGAAAATAAATAAAATAATGGCGAATAATGTGATAGTACCTATATAATAGTTGAAATTAAGGGAATTTATTGATAATATGATAACATTCCATGACGCGGACACTTCTCCGCTAGCTAAAAATTTTACAACAAATGAAATAGGCCTAACACCTGGTCAACAGAGAAAACTGACAAAATTCTCTCTGGTCAGAAAAATTTAAAATTAAGAATTCTAAAAATAATTTTTTAAAATTTTGTTAATAGTTTGGTTTTTACCCACCCCCTGTTTTTTCTATTTTTTCAATTAATGGAAATTGCCTATATATATTTCGAAAGAGCTCTTCAAGTTGAGTCAAATAATACCAAAATCAACCAAATCTGACTTAGATGAACAAAATGATGACCAGTTTTAGTATATTGCTCGGGGCTGGGACGTTTTGGCGCGAGCCACCGTATTGAAACAATTCTCTTCGTGTTCGGGCCAACTTCCCCCGTCTTCAAGCAACTTCTCCCGTGTTCGTGTCAATTTCCCCGTGTTTGGGTTAACTTCCCCCGTTATTGGAACAACTCCCCCGTGTGCGGATCAACTTCCACAGCTTAAATAGCTTTTTCTAATGATCTAAAATATATTACATATAAGTAAGCACAAAATTATAATGGAAATATGAAAAAGAGGGAAGGGGTAAACCAAACTATTGCTTAATCTTAAAGTTAACCCATGGCTTTGGTGGAAACATCATTAAACAAGTTATGAAAGTTATGCTAAAAATTATTTGTGAAGAACTGATGATTCTTCAATCGAATCATCAGACTCTGATCCAGATGAAGCTGACAAGAGAACCAGAACGTGTTAAAAGTAATCATTTAGTTTTTAGAGTAATATAGTAGTAATTTAGGTAATACTGCCCAACTTATAATGATGAAATTTTGAATAATGATTTATAATGATTTGAATAATGATTATCAAACTTGTTTTATTAAACTTAATTTTTATTAAACTTGTTTTTATTAAAATTGTTTTTATTAAACTTGTTTTAAATAATTAAAAATATTTTAACTTATGAACATGTTGCTATGACATTAAATTTTCTCTCATTTTTATTTCACAAAAACAATGAATTGTTTTTATACAAAAGAAGGGGAAGAAGAATATTCTTATTTTTGAAAGCGCAACCAACAATATAATTTATTTCCAACACCTGTCAATGCGCGAATTGTAAAATTTATTTTTAAAGGAATAAAATGAGGGGAAATAAATAAATGATTTATTTAATATATTAAATTGTCACTCTAAAAGATTTTATCTTTAAAAAATTATTTTGGAGGCCAATTGTGGCCCTATCGCAAATGAGGTGCGTAATCATATTTTTTTCTCTTCCTTTCACAAGATCAAAATGGGGAACTTTTTCCTTAGTATTTAATGTGTGCTGATTTTACCGTGAGAATGCAAGAGAATTAATTTTTTTACATTTTCTTTTCTGTTCATGTGTTGACTGACCGCGTTTCGACTGAAAAACTCAAGACACGGACAGTCTTGATTGGAAAACAGTCAAAACACAAACAGTTTTCACCAAAAAACGGTCAAAACACGTAAAGACGCGGTCAGTCACAACACGGGCACACACGTCAAAACACAGGCACACACACGTCAAATCACGGGCACCCACATTAAATACTAACGAAAAATTTCCCCATTTTTAACTTGTGTAAGGAAGGAGAAAAAATATGATTACGCACCTCATTTGCGATAGAGCCCCAATTGTTTTATTAGAGGTAGTTGAGATCTTTAAATCATATTTTTAAACTATTTTTGACAAAAAATTTTTTATTTTTCCAAGTCAAGCGGCATTGTTTCCTCACACACTCTTTCCTCTATTTTAGTCTCCTGTCTACGCCTCCTTAAAAAAATAATTTTAAAAAATATTGGAAATTCTTAAAAATTCCAAAAAAATCCAAAAATATTTTTAAAACTACCTTGGAAACAATTTCCAACTTTCCATCCATTTATTAAACGCCCGCCTCTCACTAGTCATCATAACCCGAACAGCAGAACCAATCAAAACATTGTTGTTTTCATTAATATTTTTATTAATTAATGAAGGGTTTTTATGAACATTGTTTTCCTCGATTTCTTCCAAACTTTGTTCGGGTATTTGATTAAAACATTTGTCAGCAAGAAGGGAAGAAATCTTTAATGAAAATTGTAATGATTTAAATAAACTTGTTTTTACAATTACAAACATGTTTTAAAACATGTTTTAATTAAAAATAAAAACAAACAACAATGTTTCTCTCTATTACAAACAAAGTTTCAAAATCGTCATCATCCTCGCCCAGCTATAAAAATAAACTTGTTTTACAACTTTTAATTTTTCTTACAGGGTTGAGAAGCGCCTCAGCAACTTTTGTCCAACCCATATAAAATATAAACTTAATTGTAAATCATTTAATGAAAATAATTAAATTGTAAGTTTTAAATAAATTTGTTTTTACAATTACAAATAAATTTAAAACAAGTTTATTTACAACAAGTTTATTTTATAAATGTTTTAAATAAGCTTGTTTTTCTTAATAAACTTGTTTTTACAAACTTGTTTTAAATAAACTTGTTTTAAATAAACTTTGTTTTTACAATTGTAATTATTTAAATAATTGTAAAACTTGTTTTAAAAACATAATTTTTACCTGTAAAACAGTCATCACTGGGAAAAACATTTCTCCCTAAAAACAATTAAAACAAATTATTTTTAAAACATTTAATGAATCAACATTGTCTGTAGTTGTTCCAATTTTCTGTCTGGAGAACAGGCAAATTAAAAAATAAGTGCGCACTGCAATAAAAACTACTTGAGGATAAGCTAGCCTTTAAAATAAAATTATTTTTCCTTTCAAAATTTTATTTTTCACTAACGGAATTGGGACTAAATCAAAATTAATAAGAGTCTGCAATCTTTCCCTATATTCTCTCAATTCTCGAAGAACAAAAGACAAAAGAGGATCAGATGCAATATTTCCATTTTCCCGCAGACGATAACAAAGTTGACAGATCCAATTATAAGGTAACCAATAAATACCAAATTGTTCATTATATTGATAGCCGATTTCTTCAATTAAGTTTTGTTCATGTTTTTTAAGTAAACCTTGAATTATAAGGTATATGTTTTTAAACTTAAAAACAAATGTTTAGGAGAATGTTTTGATGTTTTTAATGTTTATTAAAACATGTTTTAAAATAAACTTGTTTAACAAGTTTTAAATAAACTTGTTTTGAATAAACTTGTTTTAAATAAACTTGTTTTGAATAAACTTGTTTTAAATAAACTTGTTTTAACTAAGCTTGTTTTAACTAAGCTTGTTTTAAATAAACTTGTTTTAACTAAACTTGTTTTAAATCAACTTGTTTTAAATAAACTTAATTTCAAACAAACATTGCATTTAATATTAAAGCCTAATGTTTTTATTAAAACAAACACAAAAACCTACCAGCACTAATTAATGTTTGCATAGTAGGAAAACGTTTCCTCACTCTCACACTTATATCTCTAAGTACCAAAACCTTAAACATTGTCAAAAACATTGTTTTTATAAAAACATCAAAACCTGCATAAGGCACAAATAACGCATAATATTCCGCCTTGTTTTTATTGTTTTTAAATCATTGCCTCTCACAACAGAACAAACTGCGTGGGCAACACTATCCACAAAACTAGAAAAACAAATGTTTGGGAGAATGTTTGGAAGAATGTTTAGGGGAATGTTTAGGAGAATGTTTGGGAAAATGTTTGGGAAAATGTTTGGGAAAATGTTTGGGAAAATGTTTGGAAGATGTTTAGGAGAATGTTTGTATGTTTTAATGTTTGTTTTATTTTAAATAAAATTACCCAATGTTCGCAAACATATTATTCCACCTTTCAACAACAATTTTTACAAAAAATCCAAGCATAAAAGTTAGGGGGATGTAATCTGCAGTAATTCCTGTATATTGTGCTAGATGAGCAAAATTGCTAGAAAAATTAATTTTTTTATCAAAAAATTTTTTTTATTAATTTTTATAAATTTTGAAAAATTTTTTATTTTATAAAATTTTTTTAACTTTTTGCTTTTTTCATCAAGTAAAGTAACATAAATGGCCATAATTAAATAATAAAGAGTCAACCAGATAAATAATTCGGTCAATACAGACTTCCATATAGACCCTCTCCAACGGAATATAACTCGTAAAAAACTCCAATAACGAGTAGAACAAATATCTCCAGTATAGGAAATGGTCATATTTAAATTTTTTTAATTAAAATTAATTTAGAAAAAAAAATTTTTAATTTTTTTAAATTTTTTTTATTTTTTAAACAATTTTTGACATATTTAAATATTTAATTTTGTTGGGAAATGACAAAAACATCCGTTTTTAGTCGCTAGGGGTTAGCTGTTATTGAACCAAATAGGAGACAAATGAAAGCAAAGGGAGAAAAGAAGCCTTATTTCCTCTATTTTTTATTTTTAGCTGATGAATCGACTGGAAGTGGGGTGAATAATGGCCAGAAAAAATATTTTTTCTTTCTTTTAAAATAAGGGGTCAACAAGTTTTTGATAAAAATTAAAAATAAAAATGTGTGGAAAAATTTTAATTTTGTATTTTGTCAAGTATTGTTGTCCAGGCGACATAAAACAAGTAAGAAAATTAAAACAAAATTAAAAAAAAAATTATTTTTCTTCAAGTTCTTCAAATGTATTCCCTTCATTCAATCCTCTTGTCATTTCTCGCTTAATAAAATAAATGTTTAAATTGCTAGGTAAACAAATAAAAAAAAGTTTTTAATGTTTTACAATTGTAAATTAAGGTTGAATTATAAATAGTATTATAAAAACATGTTTTGATTAAAAATAAACTTGTTTGAATTAAATATAAAAACAAGCTTGTTTGTTAATAACAAAGGAAAGTTTGTTTTAATTAAAAACATGTTTGTTGGAATGAATAAATAAACTTGTTTAAAATAAACTTGTCTAAAATAAACTTGTTTTAATAGAAAAATAAACTTGTTTTAATTGAAAACAAACTTGTTTGTTTAAATTAAAACAAACTTGTCTTTCAAAAACATGCTTGATTTTACTTGAAAAATAAACTTGTTTTACCAAACAAATAAACTTACAACTTTACAAATTTCATGAAATATATGAGCACAAAACAATAGCCCTAAAAATTGTAATAAATTATTTACTTTGAAAAATATTTATTGAATTACCAGTCTGATCTTGAATTAACCCTAAAACAATCCTTAAATCACCACCATAATCCAAATCAACAGAATTATTTTTGAATGGAATATCTGAGGAGATTAAAGGTGCTTTCCCATTATCTTCAGAAAATTGGTTTAATGTCGAGGATCCTTTTCGATTTTGCTTGAAAAATAAAAGAAATTCAAATAAACATTAATTAATACATAAATATTCAAAAGTCTGTGAAAATAACGTCTTCGAGTTTGTATTCTACTAATCCACAAACAAATAGAAAATATAGTTAAACAAAGCAGAAAACAAAGCCAAAAAAAGAAAAACACAAAAATCTTTTCATTGAACTTAAAAAGAAAACTTAAGTTTGTAAACTTAAAATAAAATAACAAGCCATGTTTAGAGGCAAAACACATTCAACAGTAAAGTTGGTAAGTTGGGCATATTTGTAAACCTTAATTCTATGTTTTACTTATTTAAATAAAAACAAACTTGAATTGTAAAATATTTGTTCATTTCAAGTTTATTCCACAAACTTGATGTTTTACAATTCGTGTTCATTTAATTTATTATAATTAAAACAAACTTGAATTGTAAAAACAAGTTGTAAAAACAAATTCAAGTTTATTTAAAAACAAACTTGAATTCTAAAACAAGTTTATTTAATTTAATTCAAGTTTATTTATTTATTTCAAGTTTATTCAAAACTTACATTAAAATCACATACAGTTACACGAGGAAAATGGAAAAAATATTTTTTTAATAAATATTTAAATAATTACCTGATTGTCTCAATTAAATTTTTGATTTAAAAGCTGGGAATGCGTCAAAATATCCTCGGTTCGAAAAGAAGGGGGGATGAAGAAATGGGATGAAGAAAGGGGGATTACTAAAGCAAAATGGTCTCAAATTAGTTGGTTAAATTTTTTGTAAGAACTGTTGATTTAATAAAAATAATTTTTGTTTTGACTTTTTTCCCGATTAAAAATTTTTATGTTTTTTATTGTGGGTTAAGAAAACTTACATGGCCTTAAAATTAAAAAAAATATTTTTAATAAATATTTAAATGCCTGATTGTCTCCATTCCCCTTTATGATCTAAAATTCCAATAGCAAAATCTATATTGCCAATAAAAAATTTGAATAAACAAAGGTGAAAACAAATGAGTAAAACATAGGCTAATTTCATTGTTAGAAAGAGGAAGCCGACAAAATGTTGTTTTTCTAAAGGAAAAACAAGTTTATTTTAATGTTTTAATTAAAGTTTATTTTAATGTTTTGATTCAAGTTTATTTTAATGTTTTAATTCAAGTTTATTTTAATGTTTTAATTAAAGTTTATTTTAATGTTTTGATTCAAGTTTATTTTCATGTAAGATTGTTATGTTTTTATAAATGTTTATTACAATGTTTTAATTCAAGTTTATTTTTATGTCAAGTTCATAATTGCCAAAATATTGTGAAACTAAACAAATAATTTAACTTACGAACAAAACATATCGGTTGATGTTGTTGTTGTGAAGCGTGGAAGAGCGACTTTGCAATTATTTTAGTTACTTCATCATTTGTTTGTTGTTCAATTTCTTTGGAAGCAGAAACAACAGCTTTAACTTGAAAACCACTTAGCCAATTAAAAGATCTCCAAATAAGATGGGGAATGTAGAAAGAACATGCTTGAAGGATTAAAATAAATGGAACCCACTGAAAATAATTTTTAAAAATTATTTTATTTTAAAATTATAATAAAAACAAGTTTATTTTTCAAGTTCTTTTTACTTAATAATTCAAGTTTATTAAACATTTGTTTATTAAATGTTTGTTTTAAGGTTGCATGTTAAAGGTTTTCAAGTTAAGTTTGTTTTTTTAATGTTTTAATTCAAGTTTATTTTTATTTGTTTTTGTTTAAATGTTTGTTTGTTTACTAAATGTTTTAATATTTCTATAAATGTTTTAATTCAAGTTTATTTTTATGTTTATGTTTTGCTTGTGTTTACAAACATCTATAAACCTATTTGTTACCAACACAACACCTAAAAACATTTTTCACTTTTTATTAAATGTTTGATTGTTTTGAAATTTTAATTAAAACATGTTTGGATTAAAACATGTTGGAAAAAGTTGGAAACTTGTTCGGAAAGAAAATCGAAACGAACATAAAACAGAACATACAAAACATATTAAAACAAATAAGTTTTACAATTACAACATGCCTGATAATAAGCAATTCTTTCTCGATTTCTCAATTCTTTTTGTAACGGAATTCTTTCATCGCTTCTTTAAAATTAATTTTAAAAAATAAAAAATTAATTAAATTTACCTAATATAATAAGTATTTTCAACTAAACAATAATCATTAGTATATTGTACCCAGCCTTCCTTAAATTCTGCTTTGGCAAAACAATTAATGGCTGAACCAATATAGAGCTTTAAAAAATTTCAGGAAATTTTCAAAAAATTTTTTTCCAACAAAAATAAAACCTTAGAAATATTTACAAGAGAAAGCAAGACAAAAAGGAAGGGAGTAATTTGATAATTTAATCTATCAAAGTGATCATCCTCGTGTCTATTTTGGATAAATTGGGAAACAAAATCAATTAATATATCCATTTAATTAATTTAAAAAATTTAATTTTTGTTCGGAGAAAATATTTATTTTTAATTTATTGGAAAATGGGCAATAAATATTTATTTTTTGTCTTATCAATTTTATGATAAAATAATTTTGATAAAAAAAGAATTTAATAATTTTATTGTAGCTAATTTTAAGAGGGTTTTAATAACTGTTAAATAATTATTTTAGAATTAAATAAAAATTCTGAAAATAATATTTAAATAAATTATAAACAATGTTTGTTTGTTTCAACTAGCTACAAGCTTGTTTTAATTAAATTCTGATTTCGTGTTTGTTTTTAATAAATTCTGGTTTTAAAGTTGTTTCAATTAATTTCTGATTCTACTGTTTGTTTCAAACAAATTCTGATTTTAAGTTTGTTTTAAATAAATTCTGATTTTAGGGTTGTTCCAAACATATTCTGATTTTATGTTTGTTTAAATTAAATTCTGATTTTACTGTTTGTTTCCCCCAACATGTTTTAATTAAATTCTGATTTTATTTAAAAAAGATTAATTACAAAAAATTCAAAACATTAAATATCTGTTTTACTTATATATAATAAATTGTTTTGTTTCTGTTGTTGTTTTTCTGATTTTTGTTTAGAAACAATTTTGGTAAATTCTGCTGGTTGGTCAGTTACAAAGAACCAAAAGAAAGTATTTGCCTTGAAAATCAGAATTTTATTTTTGAATAATTCTGAAATTTTTACCACAAAAAGTATTATAGCCATTCCAATAAAAACATTCCTCCATTGTTCTCGACTACTCTCATCTCGAATAAACAAAAGAAATATTAATGGGGAGACAAAAAGAGTGATGGATTTTTCGAATTGTATACCAGCAACGACAAAATGAGCATATTGCCTAGAAATTTTTTTTGAAAATTTTTTGAAAATTTTCGTCAATTTTTCCAGACCTGCTGATTAAAGTAGCACATTTATAAAATCCCCCACAATTTGTAGAGACCAAAGCAAAATTTATAGTCATTAAAATAACTGCTAGAAAACGTTTGTCATCTGGAACAAAACCAACTAATGCAAAAGCAACGCCTGAGCCTACTAAGGCTATTGAATTGAAAAGGCGCATTCGACCAATTTCACTCATACATCTGAGAGAAAGATTACTTTATTATGAGGAGGAAATGAGCATTCTACTTTTAGTGACAAATTATTCAGAAAATAAGATCAGAATTTGAAATCAACACTGAAAACCAACAACTTTTAAAGCGGAATATCAATGGGGGATATCTCGGGATTAAGTGGATATCGATGGATTTGGGATGATTGAAGGGGATAGAGATTCCTACTCACGCAAAGTTAGAGTACATATCCACAATACCGGACCATAGGTTCTAAAATACAGAACGGGGTACTTATCTCCATAGAGTTGAGATCATATCCCCTCTAACCCCTCTCAATCCCTCGATATTCCCTTTCAATTGTTAGAGGTCTTGAGAGTTCAATAGGTCTTAAGGTGTGGACTCCAGAATTTAATTTTCATTACCTCATATTATCAGCCAACCACCCAGAACCAATTTTAACCGGAATATGTAAAAGGGCAGGTACAGCAGACCAAATGCCAGTTTCCCTAACACCATAACGAAGAACTTTGGAAACATAAGTAGGCAAATAAGTAATTAAAAATACGGCCGTGACGATATCAGCAAAAGAGTTAAGCCAAACAATCAACACAGTTTTATTTGAAAGAATTGCTCTAAAAATATTTTTGGGGTTTGGGGAACCCTTTTCCCTCAGAAAAATTTCTTTACCGGTAAGGCATAAATCCACTAATCCCAATTTCTGCCTCTGTTTTGCCCGACAAAATTTGATCTTTCTCACGTTGACTAACACAAGGGTGAGTATCTGGATGGTCAGTATAAAGAAACAGCCAAAATCCAAAAAGTATTGGAGAGACTAATGCGTGGACTGAATAAGGAAAAAAATTTTTTGGATTTAGGATAAGGCAAATTACAATAATAGACCCATGGCCAACCCAAAGAAGGCACAGAACTTATCTAAATTTAAAGAAAAATATAAAGTTTTACAATTCAAATTAAAAATAGGGTAACTCCCGACATTTTGGGGATACTATGTCAAAAGTATTTTGTGAATCCAAATGTACGAAAAAATTCCCAAATAATTCCATCCTTAGGAGTGTGTGTTTTTTACCCCGATTTAGAATTGTGTAAGAGATTGGAATTTATCTGAGTAAAGCTTTTAAGGTCAGGGTTTTGCCTTCGAAGTTCGATGGGGTAAGGGTTTCAAGAGTCGGGTTGCTACCCTAAAATAAACTTACAAATGCTGCAACAGGGTTAGTTAGTGTAACAGAAAGTGAAGTAAATGTAGTCATACAAGCTCTGATTTAATTTTAAAAAATTTCCCTCGAAGTCAATTTTTAAAAATAATTACAAAAAGAATCCATGTTGTTGCAAAGTAGCCCATCGATGACAAACAAAACCAATAGCTGCAAAATTGGCCCCATAAGCAAATCCTTGAAGTAATCTAATAAATGTAAATGCAATCATCCCTTTAGATGCGGCAAAGGGTAATAATGCTGTAGATATTGTTGAAAGTATCCCAGCTGATAAAAATACAAAACGGGCACCGAATTTTGTATATAACATTGAAAAGGGAAATGTTGAAATTATACTGGCTATTCCAACCTTTTTTAATAAAAACAAATGTTTATTTAAAATAAAGTTTTTAAGAGTTGTAAAACATTTTGTAAAAACATTATAAACGAACATGTTTGTGAACAAACAAACAAGTTTTAAATGTTTTGAAAAATGTTTTTGTAAAAACATTGGGTAAAATTTTGTTGTGAACATGTTTGTGTGAGTTTTATCAACAAACAAACAAGTTTTAATGTTTTGTAAAAACATTTGTTTGGGAACAAACAAGTTTTTAAGTTGCAAAAAAGTTTTTAAATTACAACTTTGTTAAAACATGTTTTACAATTGTAATTTTAGTGGACAATGTTTTAAATGAACATTTGTGTTTGTAAAACATTGTCTAATGTTTTCATTGTAAGTTGTTAATTTACAATTTAAATATGTTTTACAATTGTAAAAAAAGTTTTTATAAATATTAAAATTCATCAACTTACAGCATATTGTAATTGAGCTTTTTCTGATTGAGTATAAGGCACATTTTTAGGCATAATATGTGTTTCATTGAAAACAACAAAAGGGCCTTCTTCCTAATTTTTGGAATTTTTTTTGGAATTTTTTACATTTTAAAATTGAATTTTTTACTTTAATTTTAGTTGACGAATTAATGGATAATAGTGTTGTATTTTCCCAATTTGGTCTTTTCATTAATATTAAAGTAAAATTAAAGACTATCATATTTGAACAAATTGAAGTTAGGCAGAGGGCCTTGAAGAAAAAAATTTTTTTTTAATTTTTTAAATAATTTTTTGACAAGTAATCAAAAATTGTCCCTCACCGTGAGCAACAAAATAATATATCTATATCCACAAATTTTACAGAAACAAAAAATAAAATTTTGTTTTGATTGTTTTGAAACTTGTTGTTGTTTAGTATTATTAAACACCACCAAATTTTGTTGATTTTTATTTAATAAATTTAAATGCCCATCAGTTTCGTATATTCTATTATCTCCATTTTTGGTGTTTAAATTATTTGGAGGAGGAAAATCAACTAACATTTTTACCCTAATTTTTGGAATATTTTTTAATTATTTTTTAAATTAATTTAAAAATAAATAAAATAAATTTTTATTATTTTTACGAAATTATTAAAGTGTTTAATAATAACAAATAATATTCTCGTCAATTTTTAATATGTGTATTTTCATATTTTTCTAACCGGAAATGTACTAAATTAATTTATGTAAATATAAAAATGAATAAATACAAACTATGTATTGTTTTTTTTAGAAAAATGTACTGAAAGAACATAAGTTTGTAAATTAAATTAAAAACTTGTTTTTACAAAAGCTTTCCGGAAAGGTTCGCGAACTTTAAGGTTAGGGTTGCAACCTTTTTCCGGTTGTAATGAAGATTTAAACTTTGTAAAGTATTGCAACTTGTTTTACAAAAGGCTTTCCGAAAAGGTTTATTTTTCTATTTACTATAAAAGTTTCCGGTAACTCAAGTTTGTAAATTAAATTAAACTTGTTTTACAAAAGCTTTCAGGAAGAGTCGCAAGGTCGCAAACTTAGGTTGCAACCTTTTTCCGGTTGTAATAGAGTTCAACCTTGTAAAGTTATCCAACTTGTTTTACAAAAGCCTTCCGGAAAGTTTATTTTCTATTTATTATAAAAGTTTCCGGAAAACTTGTTTGTAAATTAAATTAAACTTGTTTTACAAAGGCCTTCCGGAAAGTTCGCAAAACTTTTTCCGGTTGTATTAAATATTTCACTAGTAAAGTTATCCTTTCCGGAAAGGTTTTTTTTATTTACTACAAAAGTTTTCCGGAAAACTTGAGATTGTAAAAAATTAAAGTTTACCAACTTTTTGTAAACTTACTAAGCTTACTCTTAAATAAAAAGTTTACTAAGCATAAGCATGATTTTTTTTATTTTTTCTGTTATACCCTCATTTAAATAATTTAATAAATAATCCTATATAATAAATATTATTTTAAATATTTATTAAAAAATATTGAATCAATTGTTATGTTGCGCATTATTTTAGTTTATACGAGGAAATAAAAATATGTACTTTTAAAAGTAATTGTGTATTAAATAAAAAAAATTTTTTTTGAGTGATTTAAATTTTATTTACATGAATTTAATATTTAATTTGAGTTCATTATTCAGTCGAGTGTGTATTTAAAAATTAAAAAAAATAAATATTTTTGAGAGAAAAAATTGTTTTTAATTATAAAGAATTTTAAAGAAATTTTGGCGCTGGTCTAGTTTATTCGTCCAATAAAACTTTTATGAGTCCAATCAACAAAAAATTGGATTTTTCATGATGTTGCAATGTTGGGGTATGGTTCCAAAACATTTCTTCATGTTCGGGACCTA